GGTGGAGAAGGGTCCGAGAAGGTGGGGAAGGAGATGAGGAAGAAGATGGAGAAGGGTCCGAGAAGGTGGGGAAGGGGCCGAGGAAGAAGGAGATGAAGGGGACGAGAAGGTGGAGAAGGTCCAAGGGAGGATCCCGGGGAGGGTCTCGACGGGCCCAGGGTAAGGCCTGGGGTAGGCCCGGGGATTAGGAGCCCCGACACCCGCGGGGCGGGCGCGGCCGGTACCTGTCGCTGCGCGGGCGCGGCCGGGCCCGCCGTGAGGGGCGGGCGGGCGGGGAAGGCCGCGGCCTCCTCCCCCCCCTCCTCCTCCTCCCTGCGGCCAGGCGGGGCGGCGGCGCGGCTCAGGGGGGCAGCGGAGGGCAGCGGTGCCCCCCTCCCCGGGCGGTGCCGTGCCCACCCCACCCGCGGGCGGGCGGTGCGGTGTCCCCCGCGGGCCCCTCCGCGCCCGTTCGCGGTGTCGCCGCCGAGGCCGCCCCGACACGTCCGGGCCCCGCCGCGCACGCGCCACATCCGGGCCACGGCGCGCCTGCGCGGTGCTGATGGCCGGGAGAAAAAAGAGGAGCGGGCGGGCGCAGAACCGCAGGCGTTGGTTCCGTGGTTGGCGGGCGGGGAGCGGTGCGGGAGGGCAGAAATGCGGGACAGCGGGGGAGGGGACAATAATGAGGGGACAAGCAGCGACAATCCCTGGGGGCCGTGAGGGTGAAGAGCCAGAAGAGCTCCTCCACCCGAGCAACCCCTCGGCAGAGCCCTTGATGCGATTTTTTTCCTTCTCAGCGTTGAGGGGCTCCCAGAAAATAACAACGCGACCCCACAAGATCTTCACTATTTCTGATTTATTAGCATGGCTTAGGGGTTTTTACAGCACCTGCACACGAGGTCTGGCGACAAGAAAGGGCGTAAATTGGTCACAATTGGTGGATGGCCAGGATGTAAACAGCCCTGGCACAGCGAGAGGGGGGAGAATCCTGTCAGTTCTACGCCTCATCGCCCGTAGCAGCGCTTTAACCAGAATCAGGGATTGTTATTTGCACGTTATTTGCTCCGTCGTGTTTTCTTTTAAGCAGCCCAGGAATGTTTTTCAGGAAGGCAGAAGAATGTTTGAAAGAAGTTAAAAATAAAAATATCTTAATTTAAATTTCACCCCCTGAACTGGCTTGCTCTTCCCCAAGTATGAAAATTAATGGGGAATTAATGGGGTGTTAATCAGTATTAGTGCCACACACCCACCCAGAGCTGGTATGGCTGTGAAGTGTCACAGTGTCTGGAACGGGAAATTGAACCGAACCAAACCAAACCCAACCAAACCAAACTAAACCAAACCAAACCAAACCCAACCAAACCAAACCAAACCAAGCCAAACCCAAACCCAAACCA